GCAGCTGAAGGCAACGACAACCTGCCAGCTGGCAGCGCATCATTAGGCGCAAGGAGACATATCACGCTTACTTAACTCTGATAATAACCTGCGGGTCTTCTCTCACAGCGTCACACGGCAACGGTAACACACTTGTCGAGAAAAAATGTTAACTTAAGATACAATTTTGCGAGGATTCGCCTAGAAAGGCAACTTCACAGTGACGTGCGGCTTTGCGCGGAAGGGGGAGAAAANGGGGGAGAAAAACAGCAGCAGCGTGTTAAACTGACACGCTGCGGCCTTAAAATGCCGCGCAACTGAGGGCTGCAGCAGCCAAGGCAGTAACCCCCGGGATAACTGCAGAGGCAAAATTTGTGAGAGACGCTGTGATCACTCTCCACTGCACTTCCCTGCAGAAGACGCAAGCAAGCAGACAGGCAAGAGATAGCTGCTCAGTGGCAGGCATCCAGGAGTTGCCGTGCGCAGCTGTTTCTCTAGAGGACTTCAAAGACATCTTACGTAAAGGGAACAGATGCCCCATCGCCAAAGGCATCTGGCGCTGTCATGCATAGCACCGCATGGCGTGTCTTTGCCTCCGCGTGCGTTTCATTCGCCCTCTCAGCATCTACATCGGAGCTCTTCGTTTGAGTGCAGGTGACAATTCGGCAGTCTGCGGTGGCGTTCTGTGAGGGGTTGTACAACGCTACAAAAGAAACGTTGTCATAATTTTCGTATGCGTCATTCCCCTTAGACTTTGGAGGAGGAATTGTCGTGAAGTTCTTGAAAGCGGCTGTCCAACGGTCTACAATTGTTGAGCAGTCTGGGTCAGTCGAACTCAAGGCCAGGAAGGCATACGTGCCACCTGCAAAGGCCTCTTCGGCTGCTTGCTCGGTTTCAGTCTTCCACGGTATCTCCTGAAGGCAACGCGGAAAGAATCAATCTTGGTGAGAAACTAAACAAAGACTGCCCAGATGAAACGATAAATGCCAAAGGTCCTAAAATCTTACAGGCAACAAAGCTCTACAGACAGGCCTCCAAGCCTCTTTGTTTGTTTCTGTTGAAGGCCACAACCCTGTTGTGTGGGTGGTCGTGAACCCGGGGAGCCCTGCGAGCTGACGTGCAGCGTTCATCTGACTCATGCACACAGTCTCTCCGCCTGAAGAAAAGCAACCGAGACAAGCACCCCACTTGTATGGCAAGCGGATCTTTGGCTTAAATTTCTCGCATTGAGTTTCCCAATCTCGATAGAAAAACGAAGTCGAGTCAGACAATTTGCGCCACACCAGCGCGACTCAGTGCAGGCACTCCAGCACACCCGCCACCTCCACAC